TCAGTGTGGGGTTTCTGAAGGCGGTTTGGAGGGGAGCGGGTGTGCGGGTTGGAGGGGTTGAAGGGGAGGTGTGCGGTTTGGAAGGCAGGGTTGGAGGGGCGAGTGTCGCGGTTTGTAAGCGGGGAGGGTTGTGGGTTTGGAGGGGCGTTGAGGGGGACGGTGTGGGCGTTTGGAGGGTTGGGTTGTGGAGGATGTGGGTTTGAAGGGGAGGTTGTGGGGTTTGGAAGGGTGGAGGGAAGTGTGTGGGGGTTTGAAGCGGGTTGGAAGGGGGATAGTGGGCGGTCTTGAAAGGGGTATGGCCGAGGGGATGCTTCGTGGGTTGAAGGGTTTGGAGGCGGAATGTGGTTTTGGAAGGGGTTGGAGAGGGGGAGGATCATGGCTGTGGAGTTGAAGGGTTGGAGGGAAGGTGTCGGGGCTTTGAAGGGTTGGAGGGAGTGTGGGGTTCTTGGAAAGCCCGTTGGAAGAGGGCACGCAATTGCTGGGGTTTGAAGGGTTGAGGGAGTGTGGGTCTTGGAAGCGTGGAGGAGTGGTGTTGGAGTTAGAGGCCATTAGTATTATTTGGTTATTAGTAAATGCCCAAGTAAAATGCTTTATTACTTCTAATATCGTTCGTTAGCAGTATTATTATCATCATTATTCGATCCTTATGGTTGTTATTATCATTATTATTATTATCATCTATTATTGTTACTGTTATCATCGTTTTCTACTCTCTTCTCGCTTCTCTCTCTCTCTCTCTCTCTCTCTCTCTCTCTCTCTCTCATCTCTCTCTCCTCTCTCTCTCTCTCTCTCTCTCTCTGTTCCAGGTGATGTCCTCCCCTCGATTTTATTACCCTCCACCCCTTCGCACTTTCTCCGACTTCACTTCTCGTAAATCATCGTTCCTCCTTCTTCTATCACATATTTTTTTCTTATCGGAATTCTCTTTTTTTTCTTGTTCTTCTTCTTCTCCGTTCCCATCTTTTATCTTTGCCTTATGTCCCTCTCGCCCCTGTTATCAGTCCCCGGCGCCGTGTGCGAAAGTGGCTCTCAATATAACTTCCTGTTTTACGATCGTGGGAGGGGAAACGAGGGAGGGGGTGAGGGAGGTGGGAGGGGGTGAGGAGAGAGGGAGGGATTGGTGGGGGAAGGAGAGAGGGAGTGGGAGAGGGAGGGAGAGAGAGGGGGGAACGAGGGAGGGAGACAAGGAGGAGGGGAGGATGGGAGTAAGTGGTTTGGGGAAACGAGGGTGAGAGGAGGAGGAGAGGGGATGGGAGGGGAAGCATCCTCCTACCCAATACCCCTCTGCACCCCAAAACCTTTTTACACCCTCCCCTTCTCCTCTTCCCCCCCTTCCCTCTGCCTCCCTGGCCTTCAACCTTCCCCTCTGCCTCTTCATCTCTCTCAACCATCTCCTCCCATATATCTCCCCCCCCCCTCCCCTGTCTCCCCTTTCTCTCTCTCTATCTCTGTCCGCTTCCCCTTCTCTCCCATGCATCATCTCCCTTACCCATTCCCCTCCTCCTCTCCCCACGCCTATCTTCCCAGTATCTCTCCATTTATTTTCCTCCCCCCTCCTCTCTCTCTCCTCTCCCCTCTCCTTTCTCCCTCTCTCTCTCTCCTCTCTCTCTCTCTCTCTCTCTCTCTCCTCTCTCTCTCTCTCTCTCTCTCTCTCTCTCTCTCTCTCTCTCTTCTCTCCCTCCTCTCTCTCTCTTCTCCTCCCTCCTCCCTCCCTCCCTCCCCGCCTCCCTCCCTCCCTCCCTCCCTCCCCTCCTCCCCCTTCTCCTCTCTCCCCCCACTCCCTCTCACCCTTTCCCTCCTCAGTCCATCCTCCTTCCTCCCTTCCCCTTCCTTCCTTCCCTCCTCTCCATCCTCCTCCTCTCCCTGCTCTCCATCCTCCCATCCTTCCTCCTCACTCCCATCCTCCCTCCTCACTCCCATCCTCCCTCCCTCACTCCATCCTCCTATCATCCCTCCCCTCCTCCCATCATCCCACCCTCCCTCCCTCCCCTCTCTGCCTGCTGCCTGCCTGCTTGCCCTCCCCCGCTCTCCCTCCCTCCTCCTCCTTTCTCACCCCCACTCTCTCTCTCCCTCCTCCCTTCTCCCACCCTTCCACCCCCCACTCTTCGCTCTCTCTCCTTCCCTCCCTCTCCCTCCCTTCCCTCTCCTCCCCTCCCCCTCTCTCTCTCTCTCCCCCTCCCTCCCTCCCTCAGTCCCACTCTCCCTCCCTCAGTCCCATCCTCCTTCCCTCCCTTCCCCTCTCCTTCCCTCCCTCTCTCTCCCATCTCCCTCCTCCCTCCTTCTCCCATCCTCCCATTCCTTCTCCTCAATCCCATCCTCCCTCCCTCACTCCCTCCTCCCTCCTCACTCCATCCTCCTATCATCCCTCCCTCCTCCCATCATCCACCCCTCCCTCCCTCCCCTCTCTTGCCTGCTTGCCTGCCTGCTTGCATCCCTCCCCTCTCCCTCCCTCCCTCCCTCCCTCCTTTCCTCACCCCCACCTCTCTCTCTCCCTCCCTCC